TTTTTTTCCCCCGCAGGCTAAAAAAAAAAAAATAAAAAAAAAAATGGAAAAAAAAAAAAAAAAAAAAAAAAAGCTTTTCAGCACAGCAAGTCAGGAAATACACTTCCGGGTGACCGGTTTATTGCCAATTTGTATTATAAGAAATTTATAAGAATTCACCTGGGCAATTAGTTGATTATGGATGACCACTGGCGTATTGCTTTCGGGACAATAATAATAATAATAATAATAATAATAATAATAATAATAATACGTTCCTGTGATTCTTGGACATTATACACCCGGAATAATGTCCGGGAGTATACTCACACCACTGAAGAATTTATTTAAATCTGTTGTCGGTGGCTAAATGTGATCTGAATTGAGGCAAAATAAATAAATAAATAAATAAATAAATAAATAAATAAATAAATACAAATCTTAACATGTAATTTTTTTGGTGTAATACAGTGTATTAAGCTGCAGTTCTTAAGCGTCCAGAAATATTAAACATTTCATTTGCATATTAAATTTAACAAATGTCAAAGTACGTTTTAACTTATTTCAGTTAAATCCCAGGCTAAACACGTCTATTTAACCGCTAACCTCCGTCTCACAAGCAATTCCACCACAAAAATGAAATAATAATTTAAAAAAATAATAAAAAAAATCACAGAATGTTTGGCAGTAGCAAAAAAAGTTGGTAATTACCTAAGGCAACTGACAACAGGCAAAAGACCTGAATTAGGCTGTCATTCCTTTTCATCGTTTCTCTGTGGTCCAGTCAGACAGATGCACCAGTCTGTCGCAGCCGTTCACGATAATCGGTTGCTGTTTGGTGTCCAATGCTGGGTAACCAGATGAAAGTTGTCCCACTTTTTAAAAAATGCCCCGGAAAGCATATTCTGTCTCTATGGATACATTGGTAAAATAAATAACACAATCTGAATGCGTTAGAAATATTCTTGTTTAAATATATTTAAACCTATGTCAGTAACTGGATGTGTTTTAAAAGCGAATCTGACTCGACTTAGTTTGTTCATTTGTTACTTCATAGAAACAGCGTTTAGGTGATGTAAAAAAAAAAAATTCTGATCTAAGAGGATGTTGTTCCTTTTGGCATCCAGTCCTTAGATTCTTTTTTTTTCCTTTTTCTTTTTGGAAAATGCCCGGAAAAGCCTTCCCGTGTCTCCTTGGATACCTTGATTTTGGTTCAAATACTCAACAGAATTTATTTTAAAAATGAAAAAGTCAACATGTTTCGACTAAATTGTTTGGTTTATGGACTATTTACTCATGAAACTGGACATTTTCACAGTCTGAAAAATATAGTTTACTTACTTTAGAGTGTTAGCCCATAACACAAGTTGCCATCAATGCTAAGAGTTATTTATAGCAATAACGTGATAAAACATTTTCTGTTGAAAGAACGGTTGATGTGATTTGTTACTCAGTGTCAAGGATCTTAACTGGTGAAATAAGGATGACATTTCTGTTTTGAGAGAGTACATTTAAGATAATCAGTTTTATTTAATTTAGAGTTGAATAAAAGATAGGTATGTTATGTAAAAAAAAATCAAGTTTAGTTTCCATGGTAATTGTTATAAAAACTAATAATTTGAAATGTATTCTAACTTTAACCGTCAGCTGCACTCTCGTAACCCTATTATCATCTACAAATGATGCATTTGAAAGAGTAGAAGTACAATTTGCTCAGAGGACATTGTGATTTTATATAAATGTTAAACATGTTTTAAAAGCTCTTTCTCTAAAACAACGAATAAGAGTTTATTTTTAACTAAGCCCATAACTCCAAGTTAAACATATTTTAAAAACACTGGATACATTTTCGAAACCAATTAAACCCTTAGTTTCGTGTAGGAGTCCGTTGTTTCGCAATTTTAGAAAAATTCACGTGTGAAAGCATATTTATTTAGTTCCACACCGAGTTTAGATGTCTATTCCTACTGTATAGGTACGTTCATATAAGTCTTTATTTATATTGTAGTGATGGAGGTGGCAGATACTTTTGATTCTGAAAAATTGTAGGGTTGGAGAGAATTTAATTCAAAGATAGATTTTTTTTAAATGAAAATACGACATTTAATATTACAAATTTACATGAGACCAATAAAAAAAGCATGTGGATACATAATTGCGGGATTAATGAAAAAGTTTTTTTTTAAACCTGTTTAAAGATTAAACAGGTAAAAAGATTATTATTAGGCAAAAGTAGATTTACTTTCCGAGTGCGCACGTCTGATTTAATAAAACTGATCTTATGCACTATAACCACTAGATGGCGCCAAAACACTTCTCACAGTATCCTAGATCTGTGAGACGAACTTCAGGCCCATAAATCAGCCAGCATCAGTGGTAAACACAAACCATTTGAGATTTTTACTGGTGCTGATTTATGACACATGTCACAAAGCGGTTATAGGATCAAACAACATCAGCGATTTAAATATCAGGTACTTATTAAAAAGTTTTTGTTTTGATCTCAATCCTTTTGCAGTCTGGCTAAAGCCACAATTTTCTGGTTTGGATTTTTTTTTTCCCCTCAGGAAGTCGTTAAGATTGCATTAGTCAAAACCAATCTCGCCTCCAAGGATCAACTCTGAGCCAAATAAAACCTAGCAAGATATATGCTAACAAAGAAACAAAAAAAAAAGTTATTCGAATTGAGATTTTTTCCCCCCCTCCAATTAAAACTTATTAGCTCATTAAACATTGCTACAGAATTAAATTGCCCATATAAGTTTGAAACAGTAAAAAAATCCACAATTTCCTTCATACCGCCAACTACAAACACGATAGTGATCATGTCTAGCTAGTTTTGTCTGCTGGATGGTGCTGTAAAATCCATGTTACTTATTGCATGGCTCTATGACAATAAAGATTATTATTGTTAAAAGTGCAAAACTTGTTACATAAAAACAGCTAATTGGATTTTTGTCAAATTTTGTGCATAATCCACACCATATGTCTTACCTTACGCGTTTAATATGGTCATGTTTCATTGAAATGAGACGAGACTTCTTTACATCATAAAAACTCATCCACAAAAAATACAACACAGTCAACAGCTGTCAAGTGCCACCTTTACACCTCAAAATATTGACTAATGATTCATTGATTATGTTTCAAAAGAAGCATAAAGGTGGGTTTTTAGTGGAGATTTAAAGGCATTCGGTGTTTTGGCAGTTTTGCAGTTTTCTGGGAGTTTGTTCCAGTTTTTTGGTGCATTGCAACTGAATGCTGCTTCTCCATGGAACCTTTTCAATGTCATGTATATACATATATACAGCCCTGCATTATTTTACATTATTTTAGGCCTGCTCACCAGGAAGCCTCTCCTCAGTGCCAGAGATATGAAAGCCAGCATAGAGTTTGCCAAACCCCCCCCCCAAAAAACAAGAAAGACTCCCAGACTATAATAAATAAAATTTTCTTGTCTGATAAGATGAAGATTGGACATTTTGGCATTAGTTCGCCAATACAATCCCAACAGGGAAACATGGTGGTGGCAGCATCATGCCATGGGGTGTTTTTCAGCTGCCGGGACCGGACGACTGGTTGCAATTGAAGGAAAAATGAATGCAACCAGGTCCAGAGAGATCCTGGAAGAAAACCTCTTGCCGACTCCTCAGAACCTGGAGGTTCACCTTCCAATAAGACAATGACCCTGACCACCCAGCTAAAATAACAAAGGAGTGGCTTCAGAACAACTCTGTGACCTAAACCATAATAATCTCTAGAGAGACCTGTAAATGGCTGTTCACCGATCTTCGCCATCTACCCTTATGGAACTGGAGAGGATCTGCAAGGAAGAATGGCAGAACATCCCCAAACCCAGAAGTGCAAAACTTGTTGCATCATTCCCGAGAAGACTCATGGCTCTACACTAGCTCAAAAGGTTGCTCCCACTCAGCACTGAGCAAAGGATCCTAATACTTATGAACATGCCCTGTTTTAACCTGCAGCTACTTTTATTAAATGCAACGTACAATTCAATGTTTCTTTAAAACTTTTTAATTATATAAAAAACAGACTTTTTAATCTATAATTAGACAGTTAACGCACAGCAAGGTGCACTGTGAGCACCGCAGGCCACACCCTGCAGCTACTTTCGTTGCTTATCATAACGTTCGATTTTCCTTTTGCAGCTTGAGTGTTAATCAAAAGCGTCTTGCAGTTAATTCCTTATTCAGCAACACATTAAGTGAATGTCTTAATGCAGATTTTCTGTTTTTCTTTGTGGCTGGATTTCTAACTGCGCCAGTTGATTTCATCTCGGCTGACTGAACTCATTGCTCATCTTGATCAAATTTTAAATTGATGCATTGCAAACAGTTTCTTAAGAACAGAAGCGGCATGGTCAACGATACAAAGCAAACATCCAAAGTCACGAACAACAATAGAATGCAGAATGGTGAAGTTTAATTATCTACAAACGCATAACAATACTTATAATCATTAAAAACTCAATACGTTAGAAATATATAAATAGATAATTTAAAGGTCGCAAAAACTGAAATGAAATGGAAAATAAATACAGATGAACAAACTGATATGACACCGTCCAACTAGCAATAACTATAAGCGAGCAGGGAAATGATCAGCTCAGACACCCCAGGGTGCTGCCATCCCTGTCCCCAGGTTTCAGCTTGTTGGTGTGAATGAGGTGCGGAGACGATCCCCTCGCTATGGTGAAATGAATCCTGAGGGTGGGTGGGAGGGACGGGGGATGAGCTTCTTATTAGGCTCCAAACAGCTTAAGTTCTTTTCGACCTCTCCAATGTCTCTAACACTAGCAAGAAAAATAGAAAACATAAGTAACATCAGTAATAATCTGGATAAGCTGTGACTGTGAGAAGAGTCTTTAAAATACAAAGAAAGAATTTAAGGTTAAAGAAATATAAGGATACTTACACATTTGGACTATTTTACACATTCGGAGGTGGAATAGATCTCCTCCTGCTACAGTCAGAATAGTAACTGCTAGTCAGTTCAGCAACAACCTGTGGTGCTGGAAACTTGTCAAGCCTGTTTTTTCTACCTTTTATTTCCTTCCATCTTCTACTTAAAGGCAGAAGCTGAAATAGACTCTGTGTTGATGTTTTTTTCTTTCATTATGTATTTTATGTTCAATTTTATACATAGACAAACAAGCAATCAACCCGTGTTACCACCTGCTCAAAAGGGTGCTTCATTAATTTTAGACAGTTTTACAACATCTTTAAGTCAGGTACAAAAACAAAACAAAAGATTTTCTAATGGAATGATTTCAATTTTGTCATAGTTTACCCTGAAACAGAACCAGAGAGGTTCAATAGATCCCACAGCCAAGAAGGAGAGTGAAAGGGGTCTGTTAGATAGAGGAGGACTTCATCAGGTAATAAATTAATGTTATGGATTTCCTGACCAACCTTTAAATCTTTTACTTTAGGATCTCTGGATCTCTTCTTATTGCCTGAGCCAGATGTTCAGCAGCTAAAACAACTTGGAGATAGCTGGCAGCCTTGTCACCTCCCAGGTGGGAGGCAGAATATGACTTAAAAGATCCAAGTCAGTATCACGTCTGGTGAGCCCTCTCCTGTTTAGTACGGTATATGTAGATTACCATTATAAAATGGGGTCCCTCAGTAGTTTATGTAGTAGGCTGCCCCAGTCATTGTTGCTAAAAACTTTACAAGACCGACTGATTTTAGTGACATAGTGAGCGTAAAATATTGAATAAAATGTTGTGCGACATGACTGGCTTTATTTTCATTCTTACATTTACCGCATTTTCCTTCAATGAATGGCCTATTTTAAAACTTTTTTCATATATAAGGCGCACCGCATCGTGAGGCGCATAGAATAGACGCTACAGTAGAGGCTGGAGTTACGTTATGCATCCACTAGATGGAGCTGCACTAAATGAAATATTAACAAACCAGTCCGGCTCCGGTCGGCGAGCAGAGCCTCCCGCGACTGGGCCGGGGCGTGGCTGGACGATGGTCACCCTTCTCCGTTCGCGCACAGCATGTTGGTGGAGAACGTGGTGCTAAATGACCTGCAGACGACCTGATTATAGACGGTAGATAGGTCAGTCAAACTTTATTAATAGATTACAAACCAGCGTTCTGACAACTATCCCAGCATGCACCGCGCGCTGCTTCTTCTACGTGGGAAAATGAAGTCGGCGGCTGCTTACCGTAGTTGTTAGACCTGTTGTGGCTCAATATTGGTCCATATATAAGGCACACCGGATTATAAGGCGCACTGTTGGCTTTTGAGGAAATTGAAGGTTTTTAGGTGCACCTTATAGTGCGGAAAATATGGTAACTTTATGACATACAAATTTACAAGTTGATCGCTGATATTGTCTCCAAGTGTATTCTGGGTAAAACACGTCACCAACCATCCACAACGTCGTCATCAGTCAGATACTTAGGAACGGATTCTAAGCTAGGTAGATTGGAGTATTTTTACGACAAATATGAGTGGCTTTTATTAGTACTTTATAAAATTATGTTTTCATGAGCTTTGTTATTTTGGGTATAAAGGGCCCGGTCATTAGCCCCGCCCCCCGGCCCGACGCCGACTTGTTCCGCCACGGTACCACTATTTTTTCCTCAGCCTCAACGCTGGATTTCACACAACCGTAACCGCGAAAGTCACTGGAAAATCTAAATTCAGTGATTTGGATCGGGAAGTGAATACTTCTGCCAATATTGTGTCTTTGCAAACGAACACGACATTTTAATGATTTCATTTACCTGTCGATGTTGTAGCCCATCAGCGCATCGTGGCACAGATAATCGATGACAGCCACACCAAAGCAGTCTCCCAGCACATTCAGCGTGGTGTTGAAATGGTCTCTGAAGAGCACAGAGGAAGAGAAGAAGCATACTGTCAGACTCAACTATGTTTTTCTTGAAGGTTTTCTGTCCCTCACGCTACAACAACCAGTTCCACCAGCTCTTCTCCATCTCAGACCATCCCTGGTAACAAAATCAGTCTCCAAGGGTAGTTTTATCAATCATCGCTACACAGGCTCTGCCCACAAGTAGGTGATCCGAGACATTCGTTTTCCATGCAAGTTAGAAAGAGTAACTGCAAGGTTTCTGATAGCAGACAAGCATGACTCCATCCAGAGTGGCCGCACCGTTTGATGGTTAAAATGTCACTGAGACAATCAAACCATTTACATGATTTGAAAACATGAACTACCGTGCTTTCACTTTGTGCACACAAAAGCTTTTAATAATAAATATTTCTCACACAATACTATAAATGCAGAGTGTTGCAGTTTTCATCTGTAGTTACTGGGTCTAACGCCAGCGCCATCTTGTGACGTATTCAGGGTAAATTAAACCATAAACATGTGATGGGTGATATGCCGATACAGATCAAGGTGAAAATGTCTGTTGTGCTGCTTTTCTTCTATCGTTTCTGTCACTATATGCGCTAGATCAGTGTTTCTCACCGTTTTTTTGGACCCCTGTCCATTATTCAGGTCCCTCACCGCCCCCCATCAAAAAATGTATAGGATACTTTGCACTGAATGTTATTTTATTATTAATATTACTATCACTGTTGTTGATGTTTTGATTTTTATGGTTGTTTCTGGAGTTATTGTCAAAAATAATTTCCCAGAGAACAAAAAAGCAATGCGAATAAAAATTATTTTTACAGGTGTCTAAGAAAAATGCAATGAAAGGACATTCAACTTAAAATCGGCAGGTCTAAAAGCAGCCAGAGTAGAAAAATATTCTTATTCTTTGCTATTTTCTACTTGCTAAATCTTACACAAAATGACCAGATAAAAGATGTACAACAATGCCAGTTTAAACTTTGAACTTTTTGCAAAAAGACTGAGCTCTGCAACATTAAAACATGGCTATATAACTCTATATCATCACAACTGTTCCTCTCTTTTCTGTGAGTTTCTGGTGGTGCAGCTCTGTGCTGCCTTCAGGAGAATGGGACATCAGAGTATCATTCATATAGAATTTCACCCACATGGCATTTATTGTGCAAACCAGAGCTTTCAGTGGAAAAACAAAAGCTCCAGGTCCTTTTGATGCCATACAAATATGAGACAGAAACATGGATTACATCTTTATATAGACCTGTCTATTGATTTATAGATTAATAGTTCGTTGCTCAGTTCTATGTCACGGTTCTCCTGCTTCAGAGTTTTGCGCAATGTGCGCGTCCTTTTTTTTTCCTACCCCATAAGGCGTGGAGCGGTCGGGAAGCGCGTATCGATGGAGAAAAGCAGATTGGCGTAAACCTTTTAGCTTGGGTATTCTGATGATGAGCTACCATCGTTACGGTTGCAGCCAAGCATGTTTTAATGTTACACAATACCGTTTCAGCAACCTGCTCAAAGTCTAAACTGGTATTGTGCATTTAAGGCGTAAAGTTTACCTTTGAGCAAATGCCCCACAAAGGAATCCCAGCGCCCCCCCCTTTAGTAAAAATTTCCGCCAGCGCCCCCTGCTGTCCTCTGAACGCCCCCCGGGGCTTCTGATAAATGGCTCAAATCTTCGGTAAAAATCGCTCACAACTTTCTCTGTGTCTGTGTACTCAGCCTAGTTGTATAGGGTTTGATTTATGCTGATTACATCACAAGACGATTTATTATAAAAAGCTGTTGTTTAAATCATGTACGTGGTTTTATCATTTCAGTGACACTTCAAAGTAATTTTGAAACACAAATATCAGGCTGTGAGCATCCAGTTGAACTTACAGAAGCCATTCCACCACCAGCAGAATGTAGGCATCCTCCGCAGGCAGTCCCACCGCTGTCAGAACCAGGATGGTGCTCACAGCTCCCGTTGCTGGGATCCCTGCGGTTCCAAAGCTGGCAATGGAAACAGTCAAGCTGCAAACCAAGCACAGCCTTCATGAGCATTACATGTGATCAACACACAACTGTATCAAGCCCTTTCTCTTTAAGGGTTTAGTATTATGCAAAATCATGTACTTTTTTGAGCTTACATCATGTTATAATGTTATTCCCTCATCAAAAACATACCTGTGTGTTGCATTCTTTCATGTATTTTTTTTTTTTTTTTTTTTTTTTTTGAAGTCAT